CTTGTAAATATCTAGATAGGATATTTCTAGAAAAAAATTATAACCATTAGATCAAATAGATCTTAGCCATCTATTGAGGAGGTGGAAGGCTATAAATAGGTGAGGCCTTCACTTGGCCAAGACACCTAGACATCTAGACATTCACAAACTTAAGAGAGTGTGTCTTTAAAGTTGTAAGCTTTTAGAAAGCAATACAAAGAGTATTTATATCTCTTGTGTGTGTCTTTCTTGCTTAGTAACTTTGTGTGAGGAAGGCTAACTTAGTTTGTCTTAGAGAAGAAGAGAGCCAAGTGCCGCACGTGAGCTTAGGAAAGGCCAAGTCCGTGACAAGTGGTATCGAGCCGAGTCTATCAAAGTGTGAGTAAGCTTACCGCTAGTTAAAGTGTTTAAAGGAGTAAGCATGTCTAGCTTTGGCATGGAGGATGTTGCTGGGGATGCTAGGAATGAGACTCTACCTCCTCAACCTAAGAAAGAAAGGGGAAAGTCTCATGATGTATTAGTTTCCTTGGAGGAGCGACTCATGAAGACGAAGGAACACCTTGTCGATTTCAAGGAGAGACTTAAGGAGATAGAAGGAGATGATGAGGGGAGACATTAGGCATTGTAGGCCTACGTAAGGTGCTCTCTAATCTCCAAGCTCGAGTGAAAACGGTTGAGAGGTGTGCCAAAGAGAGCGTTGTCGAAAAGGATACCTTCATGGATCTGGACGAAGGAGAGGTTCAAGCAACATCAAGAGTATATGACCAAGTATGAGCAAACTTTTGAACAACTTAGAAAAGATTAGGAAAATTATTGAGAAGCTATCTCGAATGGTGTGATCTTAAGGGACATGCCAAAAGTTGAAGTGCCAAGACCAAGGCACTATATCGGTAAGCGAGATATCAAGGAAGTGGATAACTTCTTTTAGCAAGTAGAGCAATATTTCAAGGCAATGGGCTTGACCGAGAAAAGAAGTCGTGTCAAGATCGCTACCCTCTATCTTTCGGAGGACGCCGCTTTATGGTGGCGTATGAAGCACCAAGAGCTCAAAGAGGGGAATCTAGAGTTGCCTAGTTAGGATAAATTCAAAGAAGCCATGTATGCTCAATTCTACCCCAAAAAGCTGATTGGAAAGCACGAGACAAGCTACAAACATTGAAGCATACGGGAACTATTCATAAGTATGTCCGAGAATATCTTTCTCTTAAACTTCGGGTACATGACAAACCCTACTATGATCATATGTATGATTTTATTAAGGGACTTCAATCATGGGCACAACAAAGGTGCAAGGTCGACGACCTAAGACCTTTACCGAAGTTGTGACCATAACCGAATCCCAAATTGAATATAACAAAAGGGCGGAACCCTCCAAGCCTAAGAAAGACTTCAAGAGCAAAGGTGGGAGAGCCTATGAAAAGAAGGGGTATAAAGATGGACAAGACAAAGCACACAAGTCCAAGAGCTTTGTCAAAGAACATGATAAGAGAGAATTCAAGCCCGAGGGTTACTACTTTTGCAATGGGCCACATCGGTGAAGAGAGTGCCCAAAGTGACAAGGCCTCGATGCCTTGATGGAGGAAAATGAGTGTGCTCCCGAGCATAAGAAGCATTTAGGATCGGTTCGACTTCTCAATGCTTGTAATGTTAAGCCCTCGCCTAAGGTGCCACCAAAGGATGGGCTTATGTACGTAGATGTAGACGTGAATGGCAAAACCGCGCTTGCCATGCTAGACACGAGAACCACACATAATTTCATGACCAAGGATGAGGCTAAAAGACTTGGCTTGGTGGTGACCAAGTCATCAAGTAGCATGAAGACCGTGAATGCTTCCCCTAAGCCTACTTATAGCGTAGCGAATGGAAATGGATACTAGATTTCACCATCATCACAATGGACGACTTCAAGGTTGTGCTAGGCATGGAGTTCTTTAAACAAGCGAAAGTTGTGCCTACACCTCACTTGAAGCAAATGGTGATCATGAAAGAAGAAATGCCATGGATGGTGCCGACCAAGGTGCACACTAGATCAAACTTGAAGTATCTCTCGGCTATTCTAGTAAAGAAAGGCTTCAAGAGAGGGAAAGTCACATACTTGGCAACTTTAAGAGAAGATGGGATGGTGGACGATGAGAGTATAGAGATACCTAAAGAGATTGCCAATGTATTGGTCAAATTTTATGATGTGATGCCACTTGAGTTACCCAAGAAGTTACCACCTAAAAGAGAAATTGATCACCAAATAGAGTTGGTGTTGGGTGTTAAGCCGTCAACTATGGTACCTTATCGGATGGGCCCTCGTGAGTTGGAGGAATTGAGGAAGCGACCAAAGACCAATGTGGTGGCCGATGCACTTAGTAGAAAGGCCGAGTTGCATCACATGACGAAAGGTGGATGGGGAGATCGTGGTCGGAATCGGAGAAGGAGTGGAGCATGATCTCATTGCCGAGAGTTTATTGAGCCTTGCAAAGGAGGGTAAAACTCGAAAATTTTAGGAGAATGGCATTCTCTACACAAAAGGGATGAGGATTTATGTACCTAAGTGGGGAAACCTCCGACTAGATTTGATGAAGGAATGCCATGACTCGATGTGGGCTGGACATCCAGGACAACAACACACTAGAGCCTAACCGAAGGAAGCATACTTTTGGCCACGGTTGTGTGATGATGTGGAGTCCTATGTGAGAACATATTTGGTGTGTCGGCAAGAAAAAGTTGAAAATCGAACGCCTAGGGGTCTATTGCAACCTTTGCCTATCGCGGAGAGACCATGGGAGACAATCACCATGGACTACATAGTGGCTTTGTCGAAATCGAAGAACTTTGGAAGCATTATTGTAGTCGTGGATAAATTCTCCAAGTATGCCATTTTAATACTAGCCCCAGCGGATATGACGACCGAGAACACCATTAAGCTACTCTTCAAACATGTGGTGAAGTATTGGGGCGTGTCGCGACATATAATCGGTGATCGAGATCCTCGATTCACTAGGAAGCTATGGACGGAGTTATTTGAGTTGCTAGGCTCGAAGCTCCATTACTCTACAAGTTTTCACCCTTAGACGGATGGGCGAGGCCGAGAGGGTTAACGTCTTGTTAGAGACATACGTGAGGCACATTGTGAATGCCAACTAGCGAGATTGGGCTAAGTTGCTAGATATTACCCAATTCTCCTACAACTTACAAAAGAGTGAGTCTACCGGCGAGAGTCCATTTGAGATTACGACGGGCCGCAACCTCTCACTCCACATACGATGGTGCTTGGTGACAAGTACCGAAGAAGCGACCTAAGTGCATATTCATTGGTTAAGGAATGGCGGGAGCGAGCCGACTCGACGCGAATGTATTTGAACAAGGTCGCCAGAAGATGAAGAAGTGGGCTAACAAGAGACGAAGAGATGTCACCTTCCAACCCGGTGACAAGGTGATGCTGAAGTTGCTACCACAACGAACATAAGGCATTTCGAAAGGTGCACAAATGCCTCATACGACGATATGAAGGACCATTTAAGGTAGTGCGCAAGGTAGGAGAGGTGTCCTATCGCCTAGAGTTGCCATCGAAGTCGAAGATCCATCCGGTATTTCATGTTAGTATGCTAAAATAATACCATGTGGACGAGGAGGATCCAAGCCGATGAGTGTCTCATGGGGCGCCTACGGCGGTGGTTGACTTGTATGACAAAGAAGTTGATGTCATACTTGATGATCGAATAATCGGACGTCGTGGAGTGCCACCAAGGAAGGAATACTATGTGAAATGGAAAGGATTACCCGATAGCGAGGCTAGTTGGGAACCCGCTTAAGCTTTGTGACAATTTGCACGAAAGGTCGAAGAGTATAATAAATGCGCACCGAGGACGTCGCCAAATTACGTGGGGGAGAATGTTACGCTCCGCCTAAAAGAGGGATTTTTCTAGAGATTCTAAAGAACACTAGATAAGTCTGAAGCTTCAGAAGAGTATGGAACAATGAAGAAGCCTCTAGGTAAGTCCGGAAGCTTCAGAAGGGTATAGAGCAAAGGAGAAGCCTCTAGATAAGGTCTGGAAGCTTATAGAAGAGTATGGAACATTGGAGAAGTCTCCAGGATGATCTAGAGAAATCTAGAGAGTCCATCATTAATCTAACATGTACATATCTAGATAGGATATTTCTAGAGAAACAATTGTAGTCATTAGATCAAATAGATCTTAACCATCCATTGAGGAGGTAGAAGGCTATAAATAGGTGAGGCCTTCACTTGGCCAAGACACTCAGACATTCACAAACTTAAGAGAGTGTGTCTTTAGAGTTGTAAGCTTTTAGAAAACAATACAAAGAGTATTTATATCTCTTGTGTGTCTTTCTTGCTTAGCAACTTTATGTGAGAAGACCGACTTGGTTTGTTTTAGAGAAGAAGAGAATCAAGTGCCGCACGTGAGCTTGAGAAAAGCCAAGTCCCTAAATGATAGTACTTGAATGTCATATCAAACCATTTACTGGGAAACTCGTAAAATCAAACGGGTACAGGCTATTTTTGTGCCGGAAACCAACTTACTACAGTAGGAACTTTTTTCATTGATTCTCAAACTCCCAAAAGCCAAGTGCGAAACTTTCGGGATCAAGCTTTGATATCGAGAGTAATTTTAAGGCCACAAACAAGTTCACAAATTTAATTCTTTCAATAGGCATTCTAAATTACAGTTCTCTTTGACGTTTATGCAGAACTCAAAGTTGCTCTCCTCAGAGCCACTATTCATTTTTAATGTGTCTCACCGTTGCCCAGGTCGACCAGCCAAAAATGTCAACGCACACGATGATGCCAAATAAATGGACCAAGTTTGTTATAACTAGATTCATAGACAACATATATGGATAAAGGATAAGAAAAGATAGCTCTTACAAAACTTGAGGCACGTTAGCAACTTAGCATATCATCCACCAGTCAGTTATTTACAACAAAAGATTAATAGCTAGTGAAAAATCATATGCAAAACCCGACGTATTTCACATCTGCCGAGGAGAATTTTGATTCAAGATTCGCTTCAGTTGTTTACAGCCTGACGTTTCGAAAAGTGGGGAGTAAGCTTCTTCTCCAACTCCAACAAACTGAAATTTCTTAAACAATAACTAGTGAGGAAACTAAAATTTGAAAAACAAAAACTCTAGAATGCAATTTTTTTTTTTTTGAAAAAAAAGAAGAAGCAATGTTTACTTACATCTCATATTTCCGAAGAGCCTCATTTCGTTTTGCCACATACAATTCGCTATCCTTAGGTATATTGTTCAAAGGATTCAACACTACAATGATTAAGAAATACAGTTATCAAGAGTTACATTCAATTTTAGATATCGGCATGGAGGAAGATTTGGTTATCAAACTGAAATTCAAACATTAGCTAAAATTTATGCATGGTCTGGATCAAGTCACCTTGGTTGTCATAGCAATAAACTCGAGTGGTTCCATTGGCTTTACAAAAGATTATTTTTAATAAACTTTAAAGGGTATCATTCAAATTTTAGTTTGCTGCTATATAAGAATCCGTTTTATGCAATGCAATCGTTTTATGATGGTTTGGTGCCCTCACAACTGTGCAAGGTGCAAAATCTTTCCCTTTCCAAAATACATAAAACATAAGAGCTGTGAAGAAGTCATACTTGGAACTGGTGCCAGTTCTTTCACCTCCACATTCTTCTGAAATTTTGGAGAAGTTGGATTGTCAGTCGGCTGTACACCCTGTTCAAACAAAGCCATGGCTTACAAAATTAACATAAAAAGGTCAAACAATATCAGTAAATGTAATCAATAAATAGTGGCAATATCTTAAAGTTCCAATAGAAGCAATTAAGACTCCCGAGTCTTTAATAAGGGATTAAGTCTTTGATACCCAAGCAGGCATGAAGGCTCTTCATTTTCTTCTTTTTTTCAATTACGCCCTTTTTTTCCTTATTCTCTCCTCCTTACCTATCTACTCACCCTCTTTCTCTCTTTAAGATAATTATGTATTTGGAAACCAACAGATTCTTAAACAAAAAGAGCTGAGATAACGAGCAATTGTTACCTTCTTCCTTTCCCTCCTCTTCAGTATCTTTACATGGCATTTTTTAATGTAGTGCATCAAATGATATCGAGAATGCCTAGAGCACAACTGTTCTCTAATATCTGGATTCTCAGTCAGCCAGTCAGAAATATCTTTGGACTTGACTACCTCATCTTTATCCAAAGATTCCAACCAGGAATAAACCGGTAGCCATTGATCTGTGCGTTGAAATCGAGCATGTGGAACATCAATCTGATTCGATTCCATTACCTGCTGTCGGAGAAATGGCAACTATTTAGTACATGATGCGTCGGGATTGGAAGGAACAAAAAGAAGAGAAAAAAAGATCACTTTCAAATTCAATGGTTGAGTACAGTAAAGCATAAATATGAAGCAAAAAATTTCAAGGATAGACAATAAGGTTGGTGACCAAACACCCAATATCTTGCATTATAAGGCACGGGCTGGCCACAAAGTTATCCAGCAATGTTTCCCTTCGACCATATAACACTTCATGGAGAACATGGTCACAGTTTAGCCTTTACTATCCTGCAATCCCTCACTATACTAATTCCCATTTTTTTACACCTAGTTATTACACATATTAAACCATTTATTATACCAAATTACTCCCTCCACCTAGACATCTATCCAATCAATTCAATCAGCAGCAATGCTGCCAATTAAAAACCGAAGTCGTTCAGAAAAATAATTCCCTCTCAATTTACCCATTTTCGCTTAAGGGATTTTCACATCTTATTAATCAAATGGTCGACATGGGCACGTTCCTTTCCTAATAAAATTTTCAAAGAATTCATCATCTTCCTTCAATACCAAAATTCCCACAGACGCACAACTAATAAGCTGCCAGCATAACGTCAATATAAATGCAATTTTTTGAAAGGGAAAAAAAGAGCAGAAATCACAGACATTTTAACTCTCAAATTTAGCTAGCTACCTCTCTAAAGACACAATCTTTGTAGCTAACCAAAAAAAAAAAAAAAAAACAACGACAACAACAAAAGGTACCTGATTCTGATTGGGAAGTGTCATGTAATTTTGAATAGAAAGCAAGCGATCAATGACGTCAGAACGAGGCATGGCTTGTAAATCAGATGGTAAAGATGAGTAATTAGAATCAATCCATGACTCGACCTCGATCGGACTCACTGCTTTGACTCCATGAAAGGCACTGAGCCAAAGCCGAGCCATTGTTTCCCACTGTTGTGATTGATTAGGGTTCGGTTCGCTTCCTCTGTTGTTGTTGAGGTTGAGGTTGATGTTGATGCTGTCCTCTGCTTCTAGGGTTTGTTCCATTGAATTCGAGATTTTTGTTTTTGATTGACTAGTCACTCGCTCCTTCCCTAACTTTATTGTATCGATGGTATGTTTAATACTCAATCCGCAATGAATTTAACTTTAGTATTCAAAAGTTAATCTAATAATTAGTAGTTTTTATTATGTTCTTTAATAAGTTCTGCTCGACCGAGTTTGAACCAAACTCACTTACGTCCGAATGTATGATAGTTTTTAAACCTGATTCGATTTGATAAGTAGATCGAAAAAATCTAACAATTCAGTTTTGGGTTGAATTGAATTTGTAATGAAATCAAATATAATATTGATTCCCTCAAATCCAATCAAGTTGATCAACTCTATTTTTATGATGAAAAACTAACTAGATTAAAAAAATTTAAAAAAAAATTATTTTTTACTTAAAAATGAAAATTAGTTTGTGAATTGCGAATTTATCCATCGTATCCCAAATCCAATATAACAACAAGTATGCTTTTTATTTCCAACCGAACCTGGCTATTTAAGCTTTTACATTTTGGGCCAAAGAATGGTTCAATACGAGTTTCCGAATTTCAAACCTTTATAAAAAATTAGAAAATAAAATAAAATAAAAAATTGCAATCATTTTGACCAAAGAGAAGGAAAAACTAGAAAAAACACACTTGGTGACAGCACATACTTCATCAACAGATTCATGCTTGTAGTTGTGGTGGAGCTAAGAAATTCATTTTTCTCTAGGACAGTAGAGGTTGTCAGCACGTAATAGTTACTCTATAAATTCAATTTTAAAAAAATAAATAGATATATAAAATTATATTTAAATTTATTAAAAATGATAAAAAAAAATTTCATCGTTCGTTTAATTTTTTTAATTTTTTCTTTTTTTCTTTATATATATATATCTTTTCTTAAAATAGATCTATTGAATAAATATTGTACATATCACCAATTATTCCTTTAATATTATAAAATTTCTCTACATTATAAAAAAAAACATTTTTTTATAAGAATTAAAAGGGAAAAAAATTTTCTTGTAATGATCAAACTAAATCTAAAAGTGATATCCTCATCTTCAATGGTAGGCTTTTGGTATATTCTGGGCCGATATGAGCTTAAGAGTGGTTTGTTTCATAGCAGCATAGTTCTAAATCAAACTTTATTATTGATTGCATTGGACGAGACGACTTTGAATTACCTTTATTGAGTCGTATGTTGAATTACAAATTCTCTTTACGAAGATGCAATGCAAAGAACATTGAACATGTTTATGGTAAAGATGTTTCGGGTATTTACAAAACACCTTTTGACAAACCTTTCAGATAAATCAAAAGAAAAAACAGATTGTAGATGGTCTCGCAAGCAACAGAACTCGCAAACCTGGCAGATAAATCAAAAGAAAAACAGTGGACGGTCTCTCAAGCAATAGTGCTCGCAAGGTGAATTGGTTGTAATAAAAAATATGTTTCATAAGAAAAACAGAAAATTGAAACAGCCAACATTAACTTGTATCAATTTACAAGACTAGTCCAATGTTTCCATCTGCTTTAGTATTCAACTCCTGGTTACGATAACTTAGGCCACCAACCATAACCTCACCATCTACAAATTCCACCATGAACCATTGCTCGTATAAACTATGGCAAAGGGCACGATGATGAATCAGGGTAATCAGGGAAATGTGATGTGCAATAAATCTGAAACAAGCCCTATGCTAACTAAATAGAGAAGAATTTTGATCTCCCATTTACAACATATAAAAGTTAAGGCAAAATCAGCTTAGCCCCAGATGTATAAATTAAAACAAATGGGAGCACAGGTGTCCCATGTTATAGTCTTATAGATAATAAATTAATTTCTCTAAACTAGCTGGCTATATGAATTTTGTGCTTCTATTCATAAATCATTAAGGTTACAGCTACAAAAAGGTTACCTAGTCTTTTTGGCTTTGGCCAATTTCTTTTTCTTTTCTTTACAGCCTTTGGAGTTTTAGTCTTTCGAGCTTCTCTCTTCTCCTCCTTGACCTTCTTTTTATTCTCTTTTCTGGCGGCCTTTTTATCAGCAGGATCCTGTTTCTCGGTTTCTGATGAACCACTCCCATCTGAATCACTGGATTCCTCTTCCTCTCCATCTGTCCCAGGCTCAGATTCACTTTCCGGAGAGTTAGAAAGACCATCCTGAACGACAGAAGACTCTTCTACTGGGTTGGCATCCACTTGCAGTGTTTCTTTTTGCGCTGCAGAAGAGTTAGAAAGAGCCTCCTTTAGTCCAGTAATAGTCTTATAGTACATGTCTCCAGTATCGTTGCCACTTGTTATCCGTATTACATCCTCCTCGGCATTCTTGACATCATCTAATGTCTTCGGAATATATGACTACAAAGAAAGCAACAAAAACTTCACAAAATAAGGATCCATCCCAAATATCTATAAAGAAAGCAACAAACACGCCACAAAATAAGGATCCATCCCAAATGTATATGTCAATCATGATCATGTTTCACAGAGTTTTGCATCTTCACCACATAATATCCCAAATATTACAGACGTGAATCCTCCCAGGCCAAAACAAATTTCCCGTTTGTGTAATACTAAAAAAAGAATAGTAAATTGGTAAAGTAAAATTTGAAACTGAGATTGGAATGCTTTTGCAAGGCCTTTAAACTGTAAAACTCATGAGCCAATTCTTAATGTATGTATATAGAAACAAAATCACAACTTTTTTTTTCCAAAATGACTAATAATAACCTGAACGAATACAGAGTCTGCAATTTCATCCTCTGCAGTCAAATCTCTTGTCAGAATTTTTTGTTGAACCTGAAACAAGAAATAAGTGGGTCACAACAGAGATATCAATGATAGTCTTTAAGAAAATCATGTACATCAAAGAAGGCAAACCTCTTCCAAGTAACTGTCAATGGATTCATCAGTAATTGTTGGATCCACTATGAAGTCAAACAGCTCCCGAATAGTCATGACTGCTACACCATGTTTCTTAAAGAAGTCCTGCATGCCACCAGTGCTTGATTAATCCACTTTCTTAAAAACAGGCAGGCACTTATGTTTTTGCTAAGCGTATAACTTATAACAGTAAAAAACCATAACCATTCATCATGTGGATAGCACTTACAGAAACATGAAGACAATCTTCACGTAAAAAGTCAAGGGCATGAGGATGGTCAAGATCAACTGCTTGCGAGACATCAATTATATACAAGTGACCCTGCCAAACAGGAAAACAATTTCGATCAAATATCCACAGGAACAGATTTAATCAGTTCATTATTCCCAGTAAGCAATGCATATTTTAATTCTGTTCCAGAAATAACACTTTCAATTGTTTCTTTTCTATTGACTTTTTTTCGTTTTTCTCCAGTAGTCTTAATAAAAAAACATACCTGGAGGCAATATGAAATCAGTTCAGTAAGGAAGCAAGAAATATTCACCTCAAAATAAAGGATATTGTATTCACTGAGGTCTCCATGCACTAGTTTACACTTCTGATATAAAGTCCGCATAGCAATAATCATCTAGCAAAGACACATCAAGCAGTTATTGGAATCACCAAAAATGAAACAGCAAAATACAAACATTAAAGCTTTTCTTCTTGGCTCTAAATGATGTAATGAGAAGCATCTATTGTCCATGTACCACAATCCATTTCATATCATCCTAGGAGAAGTCTAGTTTTAGGCTCCTCCAAATTGATCCACCCACAGAATAAACCCTAAAGGCCATAGTAATTATCAGCAGATTTAACTTAGATTATGTAAGTTTTTCAATTGGCACACCTGAGTGCCTATGAGATTCTTAACTAGATACATTTTTGTTATTTCACACTTCTTTCCAATAACAATAATAATATAAAAATAAAAAGGCCTAAACACCTCCATATAACCTTCACGCAACTTGTCCAAAGATAAAGCAGCATCCTTTAGACGAGGAGCAGCCCAACCAGTTTTTCCTACAACGCAGATTATCACCAAGAAAACTCTTATTAACTCCACAAAGTAGTAATATACGTTTTGAAACAAAGGTCACCCTACACAGGAGGATCTTTAAGTAAGTAATCCAATGGCTTCGATATATAAAGTAGATTGTCATTCCCCTGACCTATTGTGTGGAGATATCTTGACACGCACACAAAAACACAAAAGAGCATAGTACCTATGAATTCCATGACCAGAACATGAAGTCTCAAAAGTAAGGGACTTGGGCACCTGATTCCAGCTGCCTTTAGCCTGTAGTCCACAATGAAGAAGTTGAAAACACATTGTAAAGTTCCAAAGTAATTTGCTGAAATAGAGTAGAGTCAAAGAATATTTATAAGAGTATTTTCTTACTTAACCAGATCACAGAAACAAACACTAATTAGTGACCAAAAATTGGGTCTGTCTTTAAAGTTTGAACCATGTATGATAGGCAAATGGATTTGGCAGCAATAAATTTCTTCAGAAATAAGAGTCCTAACATTGCAGTGCCATGAAAGATGGTGGTAATGACTCCATCTTAAAAGTGAATGCGAGCCTTACCTCAAAAGATTCCTCATTTCCTTTTCAGCCCATGTCTTTACCATTTTTCTAGGGTTGTGCTTGCAGTATCCATGTCGGAAACGGAAGTCACCTTGTACATACCGATCTCGATCCCTATAATTGTTGAAAGCAATAAGATAAATTACATGGTAAAGCTAGACAATACAACACTGGAAATTGCAATTTAATTTTCATTAAAGAGAAACAAATATATGTAGGTACATAGAAATAAAAAATGTAAGGAAATACACAAGGTAATCCATAAAGCTATTAGTAGCACAGCATCAACCACTGCTAACTCAACCATAACGATGATCATTAACAAGCTTGAACACTGTTTGAAAAAAGATATATTTAAGAGAAAACAACCAGGAAAAGCAGGAGCCAAACAACAGTATCATGCCGCTGGAAAAACTGTCACTGTTATGGATTAAAAATTCAATGTTGCTTGGGTTTTTTTTTTTTTTTTTCAATGTTCCCATCTATATAAACT